CGACGGTGGTTGAGTGAGGGCTTGAGGACAGCGCACCAGATCTCCGTCTCTATCTTCTGTAAAAAATTACATCCTCTGTAATTCCTCCCCTATCAATATGAATCAAGTTTTATAAAGATGATTTTTAGATATAAAAATATCAGGAATTAGTAGGGCATATTTGGGGTATGACAAAGATGTGTGAGATCAACGGGAGGAAATGGTCTAGTGAACCACTCTAGACCATGTCGTCTGTAAGTAAAAGGTGCCATGCTTGGCTGGAAGGAAGTACACTTGAACAAAAATCTTAAGTACTTTTCGAGGGATTCTTCTCGATACTAATCCTGTTGGGTAGTGTCTGCGCAGCAAGACGAAGGCTTTCGGTGGTGCGATGGGCGAATGTAGCCTCTTGAGCATCAGAGAGTTGCAATTTAAGTTGGATTGCAAAAGTGGTGTTTAACCACAATTGAAGCAGCCAAAAAGGACCATCAAATAGATAGCTGGAAGTAGGAGGTAATGAGGTCATATGGTTGAATCCCACACTAAGTGGCTCATAGAGCGACCCAATACGAGTTATCTCAAACATATGTTTTGACCCAGATGAGGTGGTGAGCTAATGCAATGAACCGTTTAGCCACCTTTAAAGATCGACAGCAAAACACATACTTGGAAAGCCATAGAGCCAGAAAGCAATGTGCTCTTCGTCATAAACGGTGTCGACATCCTTGGCATGAAAGTGCTCCATATTTGGTAAAGCCAGCAATACCTCTTTCAAATGGTATGACATCTTCATCAGCTTCAGTGGGAAGAAAAGCTTCGCTTGTGTGGCGGATACCAGTAATGGTCGTAATGTTGAATAGGGTGGGGGTAAACATACCAGTGGTGAAATGAAAAGTGTTTGTAGAGCATTCCCAAAAATAGAGCGCATAAATCAGCATATAATCGCAATAACTAGGACCAACCCTAGAAAGTTGAATCAAGTCAAAAATTCCTTGAGCTTTCCAAACATCGCCTTTAACTTTCTCAACTTTGTTCAACCAAGCAAGGTAGTCTTGGTTGGGAGCAGGGGCAGAACAGAAAACCTTGGAAGTCCGATAAAGATGCGGAAAATCTATGATGCAATCTTTGTGAACAAAGGGTTTTGCAGCACAAAGAATGGGGAAACAATCTTCCAGTCGTTTGGGTGCTCTAATTTCATCAAGAATAGGTCCTAAGAGAGCATAAGCAGTTTGCTTGCAAATGAAAGGAAGCAGTACCTAAGAACGGAAAGATTGAATGTTGCGTGTTGGTGTTGGTTCCAAAATGAAAGTATTTTGGTGATGAACAAAAAAATCGTCCATGTTGAAAATCAGTTCAATCTCCCTAGGGGTTTGAATGTGTTTAGTAAGTTGGCTTGAAGTGACCTTGAAGGTGATTGGAAGAGTTTCAGGGTAAAAAGCAGAAGCAAGAGCTTTCTTTGAGTTTGAAACGGGGAGTTTGAGAATATAAATAGAGCGTGAAAAGAAAACTGAAGAGATGAAAAAAACATTTATACCATCAAGAAAATCAAATGTTTGGAAAGGAAGTTCGAAAATTGCGGTTACATGGCAAGCACATGTCAAGCAGATGGCGATTGATTGAGGAAGTTGTTGAGTTGGGGGCCACGTTTATCCTAGGAAGTTGAAGCTAAAAAGTAGGGAAGTGGCTATTTGTTCGCAGGCGTGATGTTTGAGGGAAAAGTCATGATTACGATGACGTCAATTCATACTAAGAAAGAAGGACTAAAATGTCCATTTCTATAATTTTAATCGAAAAGGACATTTTAGGGGGTAGTTTATTGGCTGAGATTTTCGACAAGGACTAAAATCCAACCAAGAGGAAAGAATCCAAGAAGGTTCTTTGAAAATGTGAAATTATCTAAGTCGACTACAGCTGCAGTCGACCAGAAGAGACCCCTTAAGTAGTTAATCGAGCGTGGAAACGTCAAAAAACCCAAAGAGTCAAGACCAAGCGAGCAAAGCGCTTTAGAGGGAAAAATGAGTTCAAGTGAAGAGCGTGGGCTCGTGGAGAGAAGTTGTAAAATTTATGTGGCGTACGAAGAAACGAAGCTCGCTAGAAAATAATTATTATATGTGTATTATAAATAAAGCACTTAGTACATATTGTTAAGGGTTTAAACTTTCACATTCATATACGCTAGTCACTCAGAATACACAAGCGAACAAGCGAAATGAGTTAAGCTAGGGCAATGTATGTGTGAATCAACTAATTTTCAACTATTTTGATGTTATGTCATTTATGTTTACAATTTAAAACATTTTTCATTTTATTTTACAAGTCTTGATTTATTGCTTATAAACTCGTTTGGCACTAGTCGAACGAATCTTTTTTTAAAATACTTTTTGAAAACACTTAAAAACTGAAGTACCGTACTGAGATTTCCTGGTCAATCTCACAAGTAAATTTTTGTTAAGAAACCAACATTATTTACCGAAATCAGAGATAAACAGGTGGTAACTTGGATATAAATGTGGATGCTAATAAAGACTGGGTTTCCTTCTCGAAGTGTTGGAAAGATTTGGTTTTGGCTCAAAGTTTTGTCAGTGGATTAATTCTATCCTTGCTTCTGCCCATCTATGAGTTTTCATCAATGGAGCCTATCATGACATTTCTAGTGTGTGAAAGGTGTTAGGCAAAGAGATCTTCTGTCACCTATGCTCTTTTGTTTAGCTAAAGAGGTTCTTATCATGAGTATCTCAAAGTTAGTTACTAAGAGATGCCTGAAGCCTATTAAGAGTGCCAAATACCTTTCCATTCCCTCTCATATTCTAGAATATGCAGATGATATTCTAATCTTCAGGTCAGATTTTTTGCCCTTACAAGTCCATTATATAGAGGAACTTTCCCGTTGACTTATTTGGAGATGTCCATATTCAAAAGGAGTTGTTCACTTACTTGGAGATTTCTATATTCATCTTTGTCTACTCAAGAGTGCGTAGTCAACTCCAAGGAACCTTATTTCAAATGTTACCCTTTATTATCAAACATGTCAAGGTAATAAATAGTCCTTACAAAATTAATTAATAATTGCAAACCACTCCCATTTGGATACACTTATTTTTAGCTAACATTAAAATAAAGAAGAAAAGTATATTTGCCTCCTCGAAAATACGCTTTAATGACGCACACAACTATTTCATTGTCCATAAGTTCAACTAACAGTGGCCATCGTTATTTTCTTGAAGTATTTTTTAGGCGTTGAAAATGCACGAAAATCGTAGAGCATTATTCGAAACTCCTTCATATTATTACAACGTGACGAACTCCAACAAACAAACACCAAACGACCATACACACAATAAACAGATCTAGCTGCTCTCGCTCCTGTTCGGCTTCAAGGAAATGAAATCCTATCACAAAATTAAATTAGTAAACATCTCTATATCTCTAACTATAATCGGACCAAATACATGGATCTTGTTCTAGCATGAATAATGACACGTTGACAGGAATAATTTAAAATAATAAATAAATAAATTAAATGTAATCGTAAGTGTTCATGTCACAATAGACATGACTCAAATGTCTCTTATATACCTGACGTTGATCAAGGTTGGGAACCCAGTCATTTGTGGCAGGGTTGCTTTTATAGCCTCTAATTTGTGTTTCACCAACATCAACATAGCTAACAGGTAACTTTATCTCATATCCACTTTCATCTCCTTCTCTAACCGCTTTTATAAACCCACTTCCTGTCTGTATTACCAAAAATGATTTCAAAAAAATCCAAAACCAAAAGAAGAACAAAAACATAGAAACATAGTAAAATCACGAACCGCATGATGTTGTTTATCAATCGACAACAACTCGTTGTAATACTGAGTTTCCACAAATTCATCTTCTGCATCCACTACTCCCTGCGAGGATGGAAAAGCTTGAGAGTTGGATTGAAGAGATCGAAGTTTTTCAAGCTCTGGTATGTTGTGTGAAGAGAGAGTGGAGGAGTTGACAGGGTTTTGTGTTTCGGGATCGCTTCGGTTGGGTTTGATGGGTCGTTTGGGAGTTAAAGCGTCGAATTGAGCTTTGATTTGATTTGTGATTCTGATTTGTTCACCGGTATCTAAGACCTCGTCGCTTCGACTTGGTTTGGTTGTTGTCAACTGTCCTACCATGATGTTTGTTGTTTTGATCTATGCGGAAAGGACCAAAGTGGGATTGGAGGATGAGTGCTAGAATTTTATAGAGAGGGACACAAGAGAAAGTGACAGAAAAACAGTAGGAAATTAAATAAAACTATGGGCTTTGAGAAACCGTGGATTTCGTATACGTAGCTGATTAATGGTATAAAATAGGTATTCCAATTGTCAACAATCATATATCTCAAAATCAATTCATATATTTCAAATGAGAAATTTTATTTTTAAACTTATTAGATAAATCGTTGTATTAAACTAAATATATATTTAATATATTGTGTTCTAATATTGATAACTTCTCCGAACTTAATAGGGAGAAGTTGCATTGGGTATATTTTTTTGAAAGAGTGATTGTTTCACTTTAGTTTTTTTTAATAGTTTATTTATAGTGTATAATATTAATGGAGTGATGGAATCACATTCATGGCCATCATGACTATTATTTTAATCGTTTTTTTGTCGTCTTGATATCATAAGAGCATTGAATGTCATAGATATCAATATTTTCTGAGATAACAATCGACTTATTTGGGCGACTTGGTTGGGTATGAGCTTTGGGTATTCTAGATCCGTCCTGGGATGTAAAGATGATTTAGCGAGTGTCTTAGTGAGTTCTTCGGGATATACATCTCAGATGTACATAGTCCCTCAAGCGTGAGGCCTGATATAGGTGAAGCGTTTTTAAGTTATTTGGCAACTTGGAATAGAATCAAGACATGTCGTCTTGGTGAGTTATCTGGGATGTACATCTCTGATGTACATAGTCTCCCAAGCGTGAGGTCTGATAAGGGCAAAGCGCTTAAGTTTATTTGGAGACTTGGAATAGAATCAAGACTTACCGTCTTGTTTAGTTACTAGGGATATACATCTCGGATGTACCACCCCAGATGTACATAGCCTCTCAACTGTGAGACCTGATAAGGGCGGATTGCTTAAGTTTATTAGGCAACTTGGAATAGAATCAAGACTTGTCGTCTTGGTAAGTTATCTGGGATATACATCCCAGATGTGCATAGTCGTCTTGTGTAACCTTGGTTATTTTTTTGTCTTGAGCCTAGCATGCTCTTTTTTGTTTGTAATGACTTTGGCTTCTATTACTCGGAATGGTTATCACCCAGAACCTTTCTTTTAGTTAACAATTAATTTACTAGTGTTTTTAGCATTTTGACCATGCATTTTGTTTAGTCACAAAATAGTTTTTCTTTTAGTATTCTTTTCTTGGGTCTGTATCAGACCGACCATTGGGCGCTTATGTAAGTGTCATCTTTATTTGTAATTTTTCCCCCGGACTTCGGACATTTTATAGATGGATGCTTTTTTTTAGTTTAGGGGAGGTAGTGCCTCGGTGCATGTCTCAGGGAGCTGTAGTGCGCTTGTATCCGGTAGACGTTCATGGTTCTATGATTTACGTAAAGGGAACGATGTCAGAGAGCTTTGATAAGTTCGCGATAGACATTCAAATTGCTTTGATGGGCGTTTACATGATAAGGTCGAAGAGCTTTGATAAGTTCGTGGTAGACGTTCAGAGCGCCTGTATCCAAACAATGTTTTAAATACTAAAACAATTAGTAGATTTGAGTTCTACGATCTTGATAAGCTCACATATAACAAATACAAGATTAATTAAATAATATTTGAACCTTATGTATATCAACGACTTTACTGTTTAGTCCAAATGAGTCAGAGATGTATTTCTAAAGTCTAGGTGAATAGATTGTTTGCCTCATTTGGTTTTATACCATTTGATATAGCAATTCTTGATTTTGGAGGATATTTCTAATGTTCCAATCATCGACTAGTGAAAGGGAATATGATATATCTTACTTTTGTTTCTCTTACTTCATTTATATTACTGACAACTCAGTAATCATGGATTTGTGTATGTGACACGAGTTAGAATTCTTTTTAGAAGAGTTCAGAAATGAAATAGAAGGAAATAACTCGAAAAGGTATTAAGACCATATGAATGGTTCATTATGGTAAATACATATATAAAGAATATAATGACTATTCAAATCATATCATGTTTGACATTGTTCGATCTAAGATAGTTCGATTATATCTTTGTGATTCTTTTTATAAATGATTTTATATACAATTATTCCCATAATCGGCTCTATTTAAAGTAATCGTAGAGACTTCATATTTGATATGGAGGTAAGATTTCCTGGTTTTCCTTTGTAATAATTTGAGTTATAAGGTTTATTAAGTAAACTTGATCACAATTTAGATGAAGATATATTTATGAATGTATCTCAATGAAAATAAGGGACACATATACACTTTATAAGACAAAATTGTTTTGTCCCTAAAACTGGAGTCATCCTTTAGAGATGATATATATCTAAAGGATCCAGTGGGAGTAATGTAGAACTTGAAGAAATTTAAGTACCATAAAATACATATCTTTATGAGAGTGGAACAAGAACCAATTGTTGGCTGAAGATTTTGATAATGTTATCTAGAATTCAAAAGAGTTAAAAGTTCTGATCGAAATGGAATTGAACACCATATTTCGAAGTTGCAGAAGCAGTGTTTCGAATGAGTGTGTCAAAGCTTGAAGCTTCGAACGGTGATCATAGGAAAATATCCAAAGGGGTCTCGAAACAACAGCGAGGCTAGGTTTGGGAAGAGCGTTCGAAACGGAGAAACACCAAAGCATTTAAAATTTAAATGGAAGCGGGACTTTCAAAGTTTGAAAGTTATGTGTTGGAGCATTTGGGGACACGTGGAAAGATGAAAGAAGCATTGTCTTGCATGTTCGAAACGTGGCATGATCCTATAGCGAGACCGTTAGGGTCGAATTAGTATAAATAGAAGTCTTAGTATTAGGATTTCAGTGTGTCATATCTGTTATACAAAATACTCAATAACATTCAAACTACCACATGGCAAGGGAAACGAATGCAAGAGAGATGTATGTATGATAGCACCATGTATTTTTAACTTAATGAAAGCCTTTTTACCATTTCCAGTACTTTCCTCTTTTCTTTTTATCGAATAACATTTACAAGTTTCTTTATTTATCGTCTTTTCATTTCAAATTCTTTTCCTCGAAAGTTTTACTCTTTATTGCTTTCTTTATATTTCGAGCACTTTATATTTCAGAGAACTGTTACGCTTTCAATACCTTTACTTCCAAGTATTGTTTTTCAAACACATCCTTTTACTTAAAGTTGCATTAAACGCTTTCTTCACATTTTAAACTTCTACATTCCAGAAACCTTTTATGTTAAATGTTTTGCAAATCGAAATCATTTACTTCATTTTTCATACAGTTTTATATGTCTCTTCAATCAGCATTACAATTAGAATTTATTCGTATAATTTAGTTTTCATGTACAATTTGACCACATTTTTAAACTCTTAGAGAGAAGGATCGAAATAAACCAAACACTTGTACAATAGCAACCATGAATAATTGTTCGATTATGAGAGTAACTTTAATATCCAAGGAGTCCTAGGATCAATCTAGTCGATCCTGTGAGTTACCAGAGAGATTGAGTAGCGTTAATAAAGATTATTCGATAGTTTGGAAGACTAGCGGTTGTTTACCAGAAATCACTGGAAACAAATTGGCACACCCGGTGGGACCAATAGTTGGATATCAGAATTAAGGATTGTCGAGACATAGCCATCCCAAAAACGTAGGAACCATAAGAAATTTGCTGTTTTATGAACCTAAGAAGTGGTAAGATAACCAACAGCAACCAACCTTTATCCAGAAGAAAACGTTTGGACAAAATGTCTAATTCAGACAATCAACAAGGAAACCAAATTGACCCACATGCAACAAGCACTAACGCGTCCATTTCGAGCGGAACATCTAATGTAATCCCTTCGAATGCACAGTCTGTTGCATCTTCAACCAGTAACATAGCCACCACTGGAGTAAGTGGCATATCAACTAACAGTTCGATCTTAGGAAATACTAGAACTATGGACTACCCGGGGGGATTCGTTCCACCACCAGGAACACAATCCCATTTAGCCACACCATCAACTAGACCACCCGGCTTCGATGGGAATAGAATTAGAAGTTCTTCTTACGGAATGCCAACATCTTTTATGGCAGGTTTACACAATTCCACTTCGAATTCATCCCCACAACTAGGATCTGGGTCTGGGGCGAACCAATTTATGACAAATAACCAAGGGTCAGTAGGTTATAGCACGTTGCCTATCCTAACCACAGATAACCAGTTGGCTTTTAGGCAATTGATGGATGACAGCAACCACAACATGATAGGGGTGTTAGCGCAAACCATGCAGGAAATATTTGCCCCAATAGTTCAGAATGTGACTGTGACGAACAGGGAAAACGCTGACAATATGAGTCGAATAGCAGATTTCTTTGCTCCCACAGAAAGGCGTAGGCAGAACCAGGCGGGATTTCGAACAAACATGCCTGTTATAGAACGAATTGCTAACGACCCAATTCAGAGACTACCCAGAGAAGAAGCTAACTTAGGGGCCAGAGCACCAAGGTTAGAAGCCCCAGTAATTCAGGGCCCACAAAGGGAAGTTATGGAACCAGGGGCAAGGATCGAAAGGCCAGAAGCCCCAGAACTTCGAGAAGAACAACCCAGGGGAGTTGTTTTTGTTGGTCGAAATCAAGATGCCGATGCCGTCGTTCATAGGATTCGAAACGATAACATCTTGGCAGAAAATAACCTAACCACCATGATAGAGAGGATCATGGCCCAAAATGGCCTCAATACGGGAATGAGGAGGCCAAATTACGCTTCTCCTATATTGGATTGTATAATGCATACTGATTTACCAAGGGGATACAAAGTCCCTAAATTTACAAAGTTCGCTGGGGATACCAATGAGTCAACAGTCGAACACATAGCGAGATATTTAACCGAAGCGGGAGACATAGCCAATAATGAAGATCTCAGGATCAAATACTTCCCAAGTTCCTTGACAAAAAACGCCTTCACTTGGTTTACCACGTTGCCTCCCGGATCTAT